TGCACCTGAATAGTAGGGACCGAAGTATTACGTAACCAAGTAAGAATCTGATGGTTCTTACTATCCCAATCCTCCAACTTATCGACGTAAGCTGTAAGAACCTGTGGTGTGGGGTTGGCATCCCCAGAAACAGACGGATGTACAGGTGGCAACACATCACCAGTCACAATCCGCCACAATTTTCTCCCAATTAAAAAACTCTTCATAGACTGTGCCCAAAGACTATAATTGTCTCCTGATAAGACAACACTAATAGGAGAATGCAAATCCATACGATCCATATCCAAAAGGCAGATCAACACAATAACACGAAACTGATGAAAATATAGACAGAAATCGGATCACGAAACCGTCAAAATAGCACAAAAATAGAGGAAATAAAAAGTTCACGAAAACCAAAACCGACCACACCAGGACGTAGCCGACGACGAGACGAGTCAACGCCTGAAAAACGGGAGAAATCGGACGCCGGAGTGGACCTCACGCGCCGGCGAGAGCTGCCGGCGCCGTCGCAATGAATCGGCGCGTGTGGGGCCCACGCGCCGCCGATCGGCCTGAAATTTTCGGCGATTGGTCGCCGGTGGACGCCGGAGAGGATGGTCGGGGCGGTGAGAGTCAACGACGGCCGGAGATGAACGGGAAAACGAAAACCCACAAGTGAATAGATATAACCCTAGTCTGATACCATGTGAGAATGTGGGAAAAATATATATTCTAATATTCACAAAGAGGGTACACATATATATAGATACACATATGAGCCTTAGCCTAAACCTAACTTATAGTACAATATCAATATTTACATATTTAACAAATATCAATAATTAGGAAATTAAATTATGTATGTACAACAACCATTTACATAAAAAAATAACAACTAATCGCATGATATTAACTAGTACGTAACCCGTGCGATGCACGAGATGTAAAATTTGGAAGAATAATATAACCTCACGTGCATTAGGATCGAAATTGAAATCATTAAAATACATAGGAACATTGTTGAATCATAAAAAGTTCGGTAACAATCATATATTATTAAAAATCTCCTTGTACACAACATTATGAGTTTGATTGTTTGGTAACTCCTCATTACATGTAAAACTCATAATGTTGTGTACAAGGAGATTTTTAATAATATATGATTGTTACCGAACTTTTTATGATTCAACAATGTTCCTATGTATTTTAATGATTTCAATTTCGATCCTAATGCACGTGAGGTTATATTATTCTTCCAAATTTTTCAAGGAGCGGATATTCTTTGACCTTTAATTAATCTGAACCGATTGCCTTGACTTTTCAATTTTTCAAAACTCTTTTTTTAAATATTTCGGCTTAAGATTCGGATTTCATTATACAAGTCATCGGATTGTTTGAATGAAAATGAATGAAAAGAATACCAAAAACAGGTAGCCTTATTCATATAACCAATCCTAAAATATTAGTTTGTTCACCAAAAAGAGACAAATCCTAGAAATCCTAAAATATTAGTTTGTTCACCAATCCTAAAATATTAGTTTGATTTTTAGGATTTGTCTCTTTTGAAAATATTAGTTTGTGCTAATGAGGAGTTACCAAATAATCAAACTCATAATGTTGTGTACAAGGAGATTTTTGAAATAAAGACGTGTGCTATCATTAACCAAATATCCGGTTATTGATATAAAGTGGTTACCAAAAAATAGAACGCGATAAGGACGCTTCATGGAAATATCAATGGGATAAGGTCATAACAAATCGCTATACATTTTAACGATAAAAGGTCAGATGGAATGATTTATGATAATTATGTCGTAATTAATGTATTAATGAGAAGTGTGAAAAGGACATAATTAATGAGAAGTGTGAAAAAGACAAAAACTTACCGGTTTTGAAAAATATTTAATGCAAATCCGACATTAACCATAATTTGACCTACTATTTTGATAAATGTTAATTCTTATTATATAAGTATAGATTAGAACAAGTTTCTAACAATAGCATCATATATAACATACTATAGCGAATTCCTAGTTCTCACGCTATGAAAAGATGAATGAACTTGCTACATAATTATGTTACTAGAGTTTTTTATTCTTGATACCATCTCACACACTCACACACCTCAGCATACTCCCACAAAAAATAATATTCCAAATTTGATGCTTTAAAGATCTACAATTCTACACACCCTGAAATCAGCATAATATGTAATTTTGTGTTGAAAAAGAAAATGAAAATTGATATACAATTATATATTTTTCATAACAAAATAAAGGCGAAATTCACTTATTAAATCTACATTTATATGTTTTTCCCAGCAGTAATTTTGGTCTTCCTCTTTCTAAAATTAAGATCTAACCATATAGTCAAACCAAAAACATCACTCCTCGATCGTGCCTAAAGAAATTCCCCAACCAAGTCCCCAAAATCGAACCCATTGCTATTTTCAACGGCGATCATAATCCCCTGAAATGCGTCCACGCTACATGGCAAGACCAATCCACTCCTCTGCCCGAACCCAAATTCATCCCGAGCCTTATCAAGCAAAATCTTGAACAACGGGTGAGAAAGGTGGTTCGTGTGGACCACAAACCTCTCCCGTTTTTCGCCCACATATACCGGAAATGTCCCTGTGGGAGTGTTCGTGGGCTTGCACCTTACTTGATTTTCCCTTAGAGAGCCGTAATCAAAGTACGAAGGCCCGGCCAGAATCGATTTATCCCTCTTGGCTAGTTTCTTCATTGAACCTAGCTTTTTTCCCAACATTCTTTCTTTTTTTTTGGGGGGGGGGGGGNAGGGGTTATTGGGTTGTTGGTGGAGAGAGGAAAATGGTGGTTTTTGTAGTGTGGGAGAAGGCAATGGTGCATAATATGTTAAGGTGACATCTTTTGACTTTAGGATTGCCTAGGTTTAATTTTAGGATACTGATAGTTATATGGATATTTGGATGATATTGATTAATATGGATGTACTTATATGAATTTTATTAGGATCAAATTGCACTTTACAATCAAAATAGACAAAAAGTCTTGATAGAATTATAAATTGGAAAGGATAATGCTACAAGTAAATAGAAAAAAGTATTACAAATTTACAAAGATAGGACAATTTATTCATTGCTTAATTAATTTAATTTTAATTTTGTCTCATGAAGTGAGTTAGTACACTTCGATTACTTTTGACTTCTGAATAATTTAGGACAATATTCACGAGGGTTTGGGAATTGGGATAATATGCTGTTTTTATCCCATCACATGAAAACAATCATCATGGGTTGATAACACTTGAATGGTGTGTGATTCTGTTGACAATTAAAAGGTACACCATTACTGGATTGTTTCTTGTTCTTGGTGCTAAAGATAATTGGTCCATAATAAGGAATTTAGTCATCAATATTTTCAAAATATTAATTGAATGTAAATAATTGAGCCTTCTCAGGTAAGTGATTTGTTGAAAATTATTATCATGTCAAACCAGAAAATAATAGTAATGACATAATGTGAAGTGATTAACTTAAAATTAGTTATTGTATTGATTTAGGCATTTCTTAATTAAAGGAAATTTGTGTTGACTAGTTTATGAATTTTTTTTTTCCCACGCTTATAATAATAAAAATGTAAATAGATTACCCCTTCAAATTTTAAGTTTTTTTATTATTATAATTAAAATTTTAATTTGTCCACCTCTTAAATTATTTTTTGCACCCCCATATTTTTTGTTTTTATACGTCACTTATATGCCAATAATTGCAAGTATAAGGTAACTTTTTTTTATGCATTTTTGTTATCTTTTATAAATTATGTCATGTCTTTTGTCTCCTCTCAATTAATTTTTTATAAGTTGATATATATGAATCGTATTTTATTGGGTAACGGTGTGACTCTCCGTTTAGTCAACTATACCAATGCTCTAATCTAGTGTTTAGACTTTAGACAATAGAGTGGTGCGCCCCTTTGCTTGCCAAAAAGTAAGCAAAAACGGCACCAATTGCTAATTGTTGTTGTTGTTATTTTTTTTCTTTTTTTTTTTTCAAAAAGAATAAAAAATTCCTAAAACACCTGCAAATACTAAGGATTGGGGATTCCAAATACCTGACAGTGGTTTGGAGAGTTAAGGTTTTTTATTTAATTATTATTGTATTTTATGGGTGGTGCAAGAATTTTGGAGGAATATTACCTTTATACATCTTATATCCCCAAATATATGGATGTATATGTGTGTTGAGAACTTACAATTTTAGAAGGGCAAAACACCTACAACTAACCACCCTATACCATCATTTGTTNGACTTCACATCACGTAGGCGAAGGTTTTTAAGCTCCTCCTCCAATGAGGCCAACTTAGCCATAACCGCATCATTCGACGAACCGGAAGCTTGTGACGCCTCATTCACGGGAGCTCTCTTCCGGACACTCTTCCTTTGGGAATTTTCGCTCAACATCTCGTACAATTCATAAATCTCCTCGGCCGTGTGGCTCCCGATATCTCCACCGGCCGCATGATCAACCATGTATTGAAGAGTTTGATGAAGTCCGTCATAGAAAAATTGATTCAACACTCCTAAGCAAAAGTGATGGTGGGGGCATTGGAGTTGATAGCCCTTGAATCGCTCCCAAGCCTCATGAAAAGTTTCACCCGGGTTTTGGCTAAAGCTAGCCATTTGCGCTCGGAGGTCGGTGGTCTTTTGATGTGAATAGTATTTGCCCATGAATTTTTCGTAGACGGCCTCCCAATTGTTGAGTGAGTTCGGTAGCAACGTCATGAACCAAGTCTTGGCTCGGTCCTTCAAGGTATATGGAAAGCACCTCATCCGAAGTTGGTTCTCGGTTAGGCCTTGTAGAGGGAAGGTATTGACGGTGGAATAGAAATCCCGAATGAAGTTAAGAGCATCCTCTTGTGCGAGGCCATAAAACGAGGGAAGTTGGTTGAGGTGAATGGCTTTGAGGTCATAATTTCGGGCCGCCTCACCAAGCACGAGGCACGAAGTGTTGTCTCCGATAATTGGTCGTGCAAAGTACCTCATGTTCGGGGGTGGTGGTTGTTGTTCTCGTTGATCCGCCATTGGTTCGGGTATGGGCTCGGGTTCCGGTTGTGGTTCGTCTATGTTAAGCTCAACGTACAGGTTAAGTGGTGGCGACTCCTCTCGGGGTGGACGATTCCTTCTACCTCGCATAAACACAACCAAAAACTATACCCGTGAACACACCAATGGGAAACAAGGTAAACGAGATTAATAAACACAAACTACCTAACGAAGCAAGAGAAATCAAGAGAAATACGGAAATTAAGTAAAGGATCACAAAAATCAAGAGAAACACATGAAAAAGGGACAACCAAATAACAAACTAGGCGTCCTACTTGCCTTCCCCGGCAACGGCGCCATTTGTTTAATAGAGATTTGTGGGTATGTGGTAACCGAGTTACCCGACTCGGGTCGTTCTCTAAGGAAGGCTATTCGGAGCTTTGGTTGCTATTCAATTGTCCAAAAACACAAA